AATACATAAAATTACTTCTCACCTTTTGTTAATTGCAAAGTAAACAATTATAAATGACCATCACTCTAGAAGACAATGACACCTTTTCCTTCATGGGTGTCCTTTGGGGTAGGATCTTCAAAGAATTCAAACATTCTGGCTGCCAGACCCATATAAGTTGAGTACAGTGAAGCATAGTGAAAAGTATGTTACATTCTCTAACATACTTACAAAGAGAAACAGCATTTTTCCCCACCTCATCTCATTCTGAGATAGCATGTTACAGTGGAAAGTACGTAGGATGAGAAGTGAGAAGACTTCCAGTCATCTCACCTCTGCCAAGATCCAGCAGTTAACCGCGTGGAGTCTCTCTGGTGCACTGAGCTTCAGCTTCTTGGTTCACGTGATAAACTGAAGTCACATTCCCACTCCTCCAAATATTAGGATGTGATTATTATATTTTCATCTAAGAAGATAGAACTAAACAGATAGTCCTTCTACTAATGATATGCTGATGAATATAAAATCATATTATTATGATCTGTAGTAATTCAAAACTAGAAAAACAGGGTAACCAAAAAACCTAGTTCCTAAATTTCTTTTATTTGTAAGCTTGATATCCTCTGCTAAGTATTTTAGCAAATCAACCAGGCTTCTATTCTTATTTCCCTTGAAGTTATGGAATGATCAAAAGATGGGAAAGTTTTAAAATGTGCTGAATAATTCATACCCTGAATAAATATTCTCTGATCAGAAGATGGTTTTATTTGTTCTTTTGTTTCAGGACTAGGATTTGGGGTTCTAATGAATTATTTTGCCCTTATTACATAAATACGTGGTTTCCAAACTTTTCTGATAGGGTACTTCATTAATTAAAAATGTTCCACATTTATTTCCCAATTATTTATTCACTTACTAATTTATTACCAGTTTCCTTACCTATTACATATACTACTATACCTAATAAATACACACAAGCAAAATTGTTCAAAATAATTTAACAAAAAAATTTGATGACATTCGTCACTATATTGCTCACTACAGTCCTTCGTATTATCACTATCATATATCTCAAAGTACAAAATACTTAAAAGGGAAAGCTTATTGTTAGTAACAGTTGATATAATATATATATCATATGTATTCTTGATTATTTCAGTGGGAAGGGGAGCTGACTTCTTATACAGGTGAATTAAATGGACCATCACTACTGCATCAAAGCCAAGAATTCTTACTATAGTAGGAAAAGTATCAACACCAATTTCCTGGTGTTTACTTACGTGTACATTGTTTGTCTTATTTTCTTTGTACTTCCAAGCTACTTTTCTACATTCTGACTACTAGGTTGGTGAAAACTGGATTATAGAATCATTAATTCTTTGAATGATTACACATAAACATCAGTAAGATGTAACACAATGAAAGTGAAAGAAGTATAGGGAAGTCTGGCCCCTCCATGCTGTAGTCTCCCACTATTTCTTCAAGACACCTGAGCAAAGGACGACGGAGACCACTGGACCTATGGGTAAATAGGGTGCCAGTATGAATCTGTATATTGGATATTTGCAAGAATTTAGATTTTTTAAATAAAAAACATAAATGCAAGGTCAAATTTGGAGACCAAGGATATAAATGGTTATGGTAGGTAAACCAAAGTTGTTATATTACGCATTTGATACTTAAATTATCAGTGGCCATAATCATGTTCGAGGCACACAGCAGTATGTTGGGAACTTTGACTCTAGAGGCTGAGCTAGCTGGAAAAGCATTTTTTACCATGATTCTTTTGCTTGTACTTCAATCATGGGTGACCTCAGAAAAAAACAATAACAAAAAACGATGGAAAAGACATTTTTTTATCTTGGGCCCTCCCTGGTGGTATGCCAGGTTAAAGCACGGCACTATGAAGCTATCTGTAGCCACTTCAGCACAAGTTTGATTCCGGCCGGGGAGATGACCCACATTTTGTGGCAGACCTCTCCTGATCCACCCGCTGCTCCCCTCAGGAATATATTTCACTCCACCTGCCTGTTGAGCTCCCCTCTCTGTCTCTGGCGAACCTTCTTACCTCCTCCATCTCTGGCCTGCACCCCAGTTCTTACATGCATAAATAAATAATCCTTTTTAAAAAGACATTTTTTAAATCTTGAATTCTTATTCTTATTCAAGATAAGATAAATTTTCAGGTCTTGGTTTTTCTATGAGGTATTGTAAAGATTTGTTCATTGCTTAATGGACACACTACTACATTATTCTGTGCACTAGTAATCTTGAAATTATTAGTGACATTCTATGAGTATAGATTGTATCTAAGCTCCTTCTATATTCCTGGTAATTTGTCTTAGTCCTCTCAGGCTGCCATTATCAAATACCATAGACAGGATAGCTTAAACAACAGAAATTTATTTCTCATAGTTTGAGTTCTAGTTTGAGTT